CTTCACTCTATGGCCTTCTACTGCCTGAGAGCTTTGAGGTACGTAGGGGTCACCTTGGAGAAGCATAGGCCTTGGACAGCATTCTCCTTGGCTCATTGACCCCCAATCCAGCTCTGTGCAGTGTATGGATTTTTTTTTTTTTTTTTTTTTTTTTTTAGACAGAGTCTCACTCTGTCACCAGGCGCCAGGCTGGAGTGCAGTGGCACGACCTCGGCTCACTGCAACCTCCGCCTCCTGGGTTCAAGCAATTCTCCTGCCTCAGCCTCCCGAGTAGCTGGGACTACAGGCGTGCACTACCACGCCCAGCTAATTTTTTTGTATTTTTAGTGGAGACGGGGTTTCACCATGTTGGCCAGGATGGTCTCGATCTCTTGACCTCGTGATCCACCCGCCTCGGCCACCCAAAGTGCTGGGATTATAGGCGTGAGCCATTGCGCCCAGCCGCATATGGATTTTTAAGACAAACACATGAAAGGCATGGACGCAATTCTTCCACAGAAGTCTCACCACCAGTTCAACTCTTATAATTAATTGGCCAGTAAATTCAATAATATTTTAAAGAAGAATAAATTCAATCAAAGAAACAGGGAGTTCAGTTCAGTCATAGGTTTAGGTTTTGCTCCCCCCATCTTTTTTTTTTTTTTTTTTTTTTTTGGTTAATTGTGGTTGAGCCCTCTGCAATTGAGAAAAAACAGGGGGATCTGGTTCACATCAACCTCCTTGAAAGCACTTTCAAGGAAGTTGCCTTGACCAGAGGGCTAAGAAGTAGGCATTTCCCTACCTTTTGAGCAAATGGAGATTTTGTCAGCCCCATAAAGTGAAAGTTCTAGCTGTTCCTAGGAGAAAAGAAAAGGAGCCCAGTTTCATTGTCAAGGCCGAGAACTGGAAGCCAGAACGTGTGGAGCTCTTGATTCTGATGATTAATTCTCCATGAAGGCACTTAATTTTCTCTCCTTCATCTGCTGCATCTGTAAAACAGGTGTAAGTGATACCACAGAATTGCCAGAGATCAATGGGCAGGGACAGGCATTAATGAGGCAGCATATGAAATATTCAGTGAGATTCTTGGCTAAGGAGTTACTAATGATTACATGCTTGCTTACCAACTTCCAGATTTAGCAAATCTGTTGTGTTAGTGCATACTAAAAAGTAAAGGATAGCAAGAAGTACAAATTTAATTTGTAAAAACTCTTCAAGTACTGGTTTGGAAATGCCCTTTGGAGATACAGGCTTCGTTCTAGCTTGCTTTTCTAACTCAGGCCCTAACCACAGGGTGTGACTTCGGGGCCACTGGCTTCACTCTCACCTCTAGCTTTGTGCTATGGCTTCCAATCTGATTTCACAATAAAAGGTCACATAGCTGCCTTTGGCTGCCAAGTTTCAATTATGCCCTGATGTTAACCCTTTAGAGGTTACAGAGCAGTGGCATTTTTCTCAATGCTGTTCCAGTATTCACATAAATGGGTTATCTATGTCCCAAAAATATGCCTCCCCCCCAATATGGGACTCCATAAAGCAATTTCATTTGAATGAGAATGTAAGATGCCTCCAAAGCTACACTGATTCTTTATTTCCTAAATCAACTTTTTTTGTGAAGAAAGTTGTGTTGTAATGTTCCACCCTCAGAGTGTCTTAACCAGTGAGCATCTTGTAGACAGCTCTTCCCAGACATGCTGCAACAACTCACTCCATCCCTCCAAACAAAGTCTTTGGGGACTGAAGAAGGTTAGATCCACCAGCTTCCCTCAGAGAAGGGACCTGGGCCTTGGGCTTCCTGAACCTCATTCTGACTCTCCTTAGTGTTCTTTATCCTGCTTCTTGAAAAAGCCAACTTGGAGCATATGTGGACAAGCTCCAGAAAGCAGCGTGCTCTCACCAATGAGCCCATCTCGGGGGAAGCCAGACAGAGTCATGCCCCAACCCCCTTGGTGTAACGAGGCCAGCAGTCAGCTTAGATGGTCTAAGGAAGGAGACACCAGCAGCCAATCTAACCTCACAGCCCCACAACTCCTCCCTGCCATGAATAACTCTCTCCCTACTGGCCCACAGAGCTTTGATGCAACCCTTCAGTGACCTGGTTGCATTGCTGATGCACCTATCTAGCCCGCTCCCCTCTGAGTCCTTGTGGGCAGTGTTAGGATCATCTCTGTGCTCCTCTGTGCCTAGCACTGTGCCTGACACTTTAGAAGCCCCCACTAATTGTCTGTCAGATTAATCAACAAAGATAAAATATCAGTTGACAATTAACCTACTTCAAAGGATGAACAACTCTGTTTCTGGAAACTGTATTGAAGTAATTGGTTCACAGATTAAATCTCTCAAGTGCTTACTGGACAAATGAGTGAGTGACTTTCTTGGCACACTTCATAATAAGTGACACATCTTTGACCAGTCACCAGGAATGTGAGTTTATCCACCAAGCATTTATGGAGACTCGGGTACGTGCCCAGGACAGTTGGGGAGGGTAGCAGGGAAAGGAAAATAAAATCGAATTGTGAGTCCTGGGTCCTGGCCTCCAGCATCTTAATCCTAATGAGGAGGAACAGATTCAGAAAGCCCCTGGCAGAACACTTGTGACACTCCAAGCCGGCCCCTCAACCCTGGACAAACTTGCTGAGATTTAGACATGGCTCAGCCAGCCAGATTGGTTCTGGTCACAGTGTCTTGGGACCACATCATGTCACAATGCTGTATGGTCACATCATTAAAACATCCAGACATGCCTTCAACCATTATGTAGCCAAACCAGTGTCTGTGGGGAGATGAGTGGTTTCAGTGAAATCACAAGTCTGAGAGCAGAAATGGCAAATGAAGAACTCCACTGAGCAAAACCCCTGGAAAAGCAATGGGGCCATGCCAGCCTCTTCCTTCAGAGCTGTTGCCGCTTCCTCCCACCTGCCTGGATTTCCTAACTTCTCTTGATGAGGTGAGTGTGGCTAACACATTTAAAAAAATAACTTGGTGCCATTTCCAATCTCCTTTTCCTTCACCCCTCTCTACTATGGCAGGTGGAAAATCTATATATGGTATTTCCCAGCCTCCCTGGTGATCTCTTGGGCAATGAGACAGAACACAGGTCAGCTGGGGGCTTCTTGGAGGGCGTTAGCTCTCCTGACACCACCGTTACCCAAGCCCCTTTTGTCCTGAACACAGACATGACTGCTCAAGGTGAGGCAAGCCTCTTGTGAACATGAGAGAAAGTTTTTAAAAAGCACAGACACGTTGGTCCGGACACCACGGATGCCAAAGCAGCCTTCAGACGTCTTGTTATGCAAGAAAATACAATTCTGTTGAAGTCACTGTTAGGTTTTCTGTTGAATGCAGCTAAACATATTCCTAACTGGATTAGAGAGTTAAAAATGTCCTTTTCTTTACATGAGAAATGATCAATAAGATATCAAAAGTGAATAACAAATAGGAAAGAGGAATACAGTAGCAGAGAAACTAGTATCCCTGGGACCCACAATGACATTTGGGGAACAGCCCATTGTGGCTGGCTATGGATACAAAGTGGGCCCCTTTTCCACCTCCCAGTTAACACAGCATAGAACCTTTTAAAGTAAATAGTGTTTTTAACAAGAAAACCTCAATTAGTCATCTAGCTATCCTCAGGTGTCTAACTCCAACTCTCAAGTCATTGGCTAGCTCATGTTATTCATAACCAATATTTGGACAGATGCTTTAAAGTTTTAGAAAGCACTTTATATGCATCGTCTGGCATGATCTCTACCACCTTTATCAGCTCCTTAAACACAGATAGGCAGAGGAGTGCCTGCCTGCCTTTAGAGAGGCATTTCTTGAGTATTCCAGAAAATCAGCTTATTAGTCATCGTATATGAAATATATTCTGGGTTTTTTTTAATATACTTTGTTAGGCAATATAACATAGTTGGTTCATAGGAACATTACTCATAAGAACCACAAAGTGGAGACAAGCCAGTGTCTATCAGCTAATGAATGGATAAGTAAAATGTGGTATAACTATACAATGGGATATCATTTGACCATAAAAGGGACTGGCATTCTGATATACCACACCATGGCTGAGCCTTGAAAGCATCCTGCTAAGTGAAAAAGAAGCTAGACACAATGACTCCTTATTGTATGATTCCATTTATGTGCAAAGCAGAATAGGCAAACCTGTAGAGACAGAAAGTAGATTAGTGGTTAGGAGGAGGGGGTAGGGGGAATGGGAGCAAAGCTAATGGATATCAAGCTTTTTTTAGGGTGATAAAAGTGTTCTGAAATTAGATAGTGGTGATGGTTGTACAACTTTGAACATATATTAAAAATTGCTGAATTATACACTGTAAAAGGGTGAGTGGGCTGGGCATGGTGGCTCACGCCTGTAATCCCAGGACTTTGGGAAGCTGAGGCGGGCAGATCACCTGAGGTCAGGAGTTCGAGACCAGCCTGGCCAACATGGTGAAACTCTGTCTCTACTGAAAATAGAAAAATTAGCCAGGCATGGTGGTGCGTGCCTATAATCCAGCTACTTGGGAGGCTGAGGCAGGAGAATCGCTTTAACCCAGGAGGTGGAGATTGCAGGGAGCAGAGACTGCACCACTGCACTTCAGCCTGGGCGACAGAGCAAGACTCCGTCACCAAAGAAAAAAACAAAGGCAAAAAGGGTGAGTTTTATGGCATGTAAACTATACCTCAATAAAGCTGGTATCTTTACCATATCTCATAATGAGAGAAAGCGGTCTTCTTGATTTGAATCCCAACTCTGCCGCATACTGGCTGTGTGATTTTGACCAAGTTACTTAACTTCTCTTTGCCTCAGCTTCCTTTTCTATAGAGTGGCTGCAGTAAGACACCCAATCACATAGGACTGCTGGGAGGATTAAATTAATTAAAACATATAAAGTACTCAGAATTGTACCTTTCACACAGGGAACACTGTGGAAAAGTGTGTGCTGTTAAATTATTATCACTGTAATCATTATTCAAACCTGGGATTTTTTTTTTTAGACAGCATTTCACTCTTGTTGCCCAGGCTAAAGTGCAATGGTGTCATCTTGGCTCACGGCAACTTCTGCCTCCCGGGTTCAAGCAATTCTCCTGCCTTGGCCTCCCGAGTAGCTGGGATTAGAGGCATCCACCACCACACCTGGCTAATTTTTTGTATTTTCAGTAGAGATGAGATTACTCCATGTTGGTCAGGCTGGTCTCGAACTCCTGACCTCAGCAAACCTGGAATTTTTATTTGACACAAAGACCATTCTTTGTACCAAGCTGTGGAAAAATCTGTTTAGGATTATAGATGATTTTTTGGTGTGGAGTTTGTTTTCCCTTCCTTGTCTATTTGCTACCGAAGTAGGTATCTGTTTTGTGCTTGGTTTCTTATAGGTACAAAGGTAGTAATTTGGAGCACAAATCAATATCCCCAGATCTCACCAGCTGGTGATCATACACACACACACACACACACACACACACACACACACACACACAAACACAGCTATGGTTTTGAACCCCGTATATGCTCCAGAAAGGAGCTTGCCTGCGCCTATAGTTTGTTGTTGGAGCTTCAATGGGCGCCAGGTGCCCACACTTCTTTCCTTTCCTGCGTCTCCTTCCTTTCCTCCCTCTACGGCTCCCATAGAGCTGCCTGAAGAAGCCCCTGCTGCCCCGGGACAGTGAGCGTCCCCAGATAGCTGTTTCCCACCCAGGCTGCCGTTTGTGATGTGCCCAGAGCAGGCTGTGGATCTGCGCAGAAAAGAGAATAGAAGCTTCCATGGCTACATGATCACCTGGGCCCCAAAGCAGCGGATCCATGCCAGAATCTCACCTTCTCAGGAGAACAGCTCTCCTGTGCTCTGGCTCTCATTCCTCTGGATGTGGGTTCAAACTCTTTCTGCCAGACCAGACTCAAAATAGTTGTTCCTGCCATTCTAGCCAATATCTCTTTTTCCTTTCTGCCTCTTTCCAAAAGAAAATGTTCGCCATGCCATTAAAGGAATGGTGGCAAACAGATGCAAATAAGGGGTGAAAAGTGGGCCTGTCTACAGTAGCAACACCTGGGACCCAGCTTGGCCAGCCAAATGCTCTATTCCCATTCGGATAGAGAACTATCATCTCGACATTACATGAGAGTGAGGTGTAGCAAGGCAGTCTTTTAAAGGAGCAGGCATCATTGATCACTGAATAAACAGTTGCTGATCACATACTATGTGACTGGCACTAGACTGGTGCCAGGGATATCATTACGAATAAATGCAGAATTGCCTTAATCCTCATTTCCAACGAGGAGAAACACTGAATGAATGTTGAACACACTTTTCTTTTCCGTTGAAACATCGATGATATGCTACCACATTCGGATCAACAAGGCCTGGCCCCTCCAATTCCCTCCTAGGAGAACAGAAAGATAAACATTCTTTTATATGCAGTTGACATGGTTTTACTTTCATGAACTAGGAGTGGCCTTAATAGACAACAGGCCCTGCTCTCCAGTCACTGCCAGAAAGAAGAGCTACAGACCATTAATTCTGAAACCACATCCCCAAATATTTAACTGACTTCAGGTTCACAGTCCTATACAACTGTTACCTTTTGGCCTATAGCATGGGTAAACATATTTGGTGCTTCTCATCTGAAACTCCAGGATAGCACATTAAGCATCTAGTTCCCAGGTGGTCATCCTATCGTATTCCTCTAGGATAATGAAAATTCTCTTAGGACAGGTTGTGGAACTCATCTAAAAAACAGAATAAAATATTTTGGGAAGAACTTTAGTAAGCAGGATTGAAACAAAAGTGTAAAGATCTAATTAATCCTCTGTTAGCCAGAATATTTTCTACCTCTTAGAATTCTGGTTGAAGTTTTCTTATACCCTCAGGGCTTGTCTTAACCCACTCAAAGTATCGCCCAGCAAGTCTTTATGGGGGCTGCTCCAATATTTGAGTGGTGCTTACTTCCACTTCAGGTATACACCCGAAAGAACTGAAAGTGAGGGCTGGAATGAATATTTATACACAGGCACATGAAAAGATGCTCAAATTCACTAATCATTAGGAAAATGCAAATCAAACCACAATAAGGTACCATCTCACATCCATTAGGATTGCTGCTAACAACAACAAAAGCCAGCTGAAAATACCCGTGTTGGTGAGGATGTAGAAATTGGAACCAACTTCCGCACAGTTGGTGGAAATGTAAAATGGTACAACTGCTACGGAGCCCCCTCAAAAAATCAGAAACAGAATTACTGGATTATCCAGAAATTCTGCTTCTTGGTATATGCCCAAAACAACTGAAGGCAGAGTCTGGAGGAAATATTTATGCATGTGGAAACATGCTCATAGCTGCATTATTCACAATAACTGAAAGGTGAAAGCAACCCAGTGTTCATTGATGGCTGAATGGATAAACAAAATGTGGGATATTCATACAACGGAGTACTACGCAGCTTTAAAAAAGAATGGAATTCTGATACATTCTACAGCATGAATGAACCTTGAAGACATTATATGAAGCGAAATAAGTCAGGCACAGAGAGAACAACATTGTGTGATTTCACTTATATGAGGTACCTAGAGTAGTTAAATTCATAGCAACAGAAAGTAGAATAGAGATGACCAGGGGCTGGAGGGATCCAGGGATCAGGGCCTGGAAGGAGTTATTATGGAATGAGTGGAGTTTCAGTCTGGAAAGACGGAAAGGTCTAGAGATGGATGGTGGGGACGCGCCCAGTGATGGGGTGTACTTAACGCCATTGAACTGTCCACCTAAAAATGCTAAATTTGTTGTTATGTACATTTTACCATCGTAAAAAAAAAAAAAAAAACTAAATAGAAAAAGAATAGGTGTACTTAGAATGCCACTTGCATGGATATAAGGAAGGATCACAGTAATCTCTCTGGAACCTGGAGACCTTTCCCTTTCCTGGCTTGTTTATGCCATAGAGGTTGCTCAGCCCCATGGTCTCCATTCCCATCATCCAATAAGGAGTGTCTAAGTAAGTGGCACTGCTGTAACTACATGTGATTTACAAAAATAATATTTCATCCTTACCATTGGTACTGCCTGTGGCTGCATGCTGAATGGGAATCATTTCAGAAGGTTCCAGCTGGCCTTCCTCAGAAGATAAAGAAACTCCTCTAAAGGATAATTTCAGCATTTCTGGGATCTACTAAGAAGAGCATAATGAATGTTGTAGAACAAACCAACTTAAAAACGTTGGCGGGGGGAGGGGGTAGATATTGCCGACTTGCAGAAATCCCCTCTACCCTCTTTATACCAAAGGAGCCATATCTTCATCTCATAATAAATGCAAACTTGGAAAGGCTCACAAGCCCGCCTGCCTCTTCAGCTAATGACAGCTTCAATTATGGGGCCTAATCCTGCATTCCTGACACTCCCCTTATCCCTGCATAACTTCCAGGGGAGTCAAAGGGCCCTCCGCCCTGGCCCTGGTGAGGGAGACATTAGTTATGCAGGAGCAGTGCCTGGGGCGTGCTGGCAAACGTAAGGGTCTGTTCATATAACTGCACACACTTGGAAGCCTTAAATCCTCATACTTTGACTCTTCACCTTACACTGAAATAAAAAGCCACAGTAACTCCATTAAAAAATATAAAATTCCTCTACAGGAAATGAATCCTAGTTTGCTTCCAATTTACATCGGTTTTAGGTTTTGTCTTCCCATCCTCTTTTTACTTTTAATATTGGTGTTCCATTTCATGGAAAATATTTTCTATAAGGAAAAAAAAACAAAAACACAAGCATCATGCGGGGTCTTTGCATTTTATTTACTAAACTGGGCAAAACATCTTTGATTTGCTGGCTCTTACTCCCTGGTAAATCAGTGGGAATTCCTCACAAACACAAGCTTGGCTTAAGTCACTCTGTGGGGACACCTAATGACCTCTGGCTTATTGAGAAGTGGCCTTGTTTTATATACTAATCATCCACGCAGCTATATTAGTAACGAGTCCATAACTCATTTTCATCCTAGGCACACACTGTGCATTATCGGTCTCCTAATTAATCTCAGACAATTCAGGGGGCAGGTATTCTTAGTTCTGATTTTCCTCACTGCTCCTCAAGCCAGAGAGTCAGAGAGTCGGCAAACAGAGGGTCGTGCTCTGTGTCCCTGAGGCATGCCCCTGTGTCCTCGCCCAGAACCCACTCCACCCACAATACCCTCCCCCTGGACTAGGGAAGCCCTGGGAACCAGCACACCTCTGCTGATCTCTGAGGCAGTGGGGCTTCCTCAGGGGAGAAGGAACCTGGGGTCAGCAGACATCCTGCAAGCCTGCTTAATGGACAAAGTCAACAGAAGCTTCCCTAGAGGCAGAAAATAAATTCAAAGCCTTGGTAGACAGCAAGCCGGCTGGTCTCTGTGCTCTGGGCAGCTGAGACTCCCACACATTTGCCCCAAGCCTTCATCGCACTCACCTTTGTCTCCTGGGATGCAGGGGAATGGCTCCAGCCTCTCCTCCCAACCTCTCTGAAGAGACAAAGACACATAACACATTGCTAGGCATCAGTTCCAGAACACTGAGCTGGTACTAGCTCCTTTTCAAAAAGCAAGACACAAGCAATTGTATGTTTTCAATCATTTCACTGCTTATTTTTAATGTCCCCAGTTAAAAGGGGAAAGGGGCAATTGTGGAGCACTTGCAATAGCCAAGCTCTCACCTTGAATGCATGATCTCATTTTATCTTCAAGCAACTCCATAAGCTAAGTACCACGAGTCCCATGTTACAGATGAGGAAACAGAAGCTCCATATCTTGCCCAGTATCACACAACTGGTGAGTAGATGAGCTAGGCTTTCACTCTGGGCCTGCCTGAGCACAAAGCCCATCTCCTTGTCCTGTAGAACTTCATTTAAGGCTCTATGCCAGGTAAGAATCTGAGGGTTCATGTGCTTTAAAAATGTTTGTCCGTGCGTGTCCAGTATTGCTAAATGGAGTATAAATTGCTTCTGCATTATTTCTTTGTAAAAATCACTGTAAATCACCCCCCAGCTTCCCTTTCTCCCAGGTTCTCAAATCTGGCAATGTGAGTGTTGAGCATTGGCATCTATAAACACCTTCAAAAGAGGACCAGCTCTTTTCACTACTGAGGCACTCCAGCGCTGGAAAACCTCCCCTTGTTGGGTTTAAAGGACCACTAGGCTTGGGTGGGGTCAGGAGCTCTGTGTTCAAATTCCAGCCTCCCAAGCCTTGGTTTTCTCATCTTTAAGTTGGAGATAATAATACTCACATTGCTGCTGTCTTTGCAGGGTGGTTGTGAAACAATAGTCCTTCCCAGCCTCCTTTCTACGCTTCTGTTCTAATTAGCACATTTTGGACGCCCTCGGTAACAGCGGTCTTGACCGTCTCTCTTCTCACTCCATCTCCCTAGGCAATTCTTGTTCACCCTAATAGTGAGGATGTCAGCACTCCACCCAGCTGCCCTGGGATCTCTTTTCAGGGTTTCTGTGCCCCACCCCTCACCAGCTGTGGTGTGCTTTCAGCTGCACCTGCAGCCCTTGGAGAAGGAAGAGGTGGAGGAGGATTGCCCTCAGGGATTGCCCAGCCCCTCCCATTGAGGTTGCTTCACAATAGTTGGGAAAGCTGTGAGTTATTCACCAGAGCCCCAGGAGAGCAGGCTAAAGGCTGTCCTCTGCAGGGATTACCCCTTGATAATACCTTACCCTGAGATCATCTTTTGCTCGGCTTCTTCTCTTTCCCTGCTCCACTCCCTACTCCCTGACCAGTCTCCCAGGGGAACGCAGCCTTAATAGGTAACTTGTACACGACCCCTCATCTCAGGCTGTTTCTAAGGACCTCCTCCAAAAATAATAATGGTTTCTGTTACACCTATTCCTGGCTTCTCCAAGCTCCAGACCCAAGCATCTAAATTGCTCCTTGACATCTTTCATCTTTCTCAATGGCAGCCTCAAGGTCAAACACCGAGAACAGAACTTGTGATCTTTCCATGTTCCCATTGCCTTCCAGTATTCCCCAGTTCGGTGACCCCTCCTCCTGTGCCCTCTCATCTATCTTTCAAGGTGGAATCCTAGGAATCTCCCAAGGCTTTCTCACCTTTCAACCTACCTTCCTCCTCCCCAACTCCATACAAACCATCTTCAAGCTCCTATCATTTTCATCCCCTAAATATACCTAAAATCTATAAAATAAAATTCTCTGCATCAACTTCTACCATCACCCTGTCCAAGCCACCATCAGCTCTTCTCGGGATACTCATAATTCCCTTTAATAGGTTTGCATACCTCTCTGTCTGTTTCCAACATTAGTGATAGTCCCAATCTAATCATACCACTCCTCTACACAAAGCTCTTCTGTAGATTTTTATTGCTCCTAAATTAAGCAGAAAACTCCCAGCGAGGCCCACCTTTCTTTGCACTGCAGCCCCGGCACTTGCCTCCTTCTGTTCTTTTGACCAGAATGCTTTCCTTCTCTTCCTTTTCATTCTTCCAGGTCTTCCACTCAGTTCAAGCATCGCCTTCTCATCTCCCTGCCTAAGACAAATTCCTTAATTAAGATTCCTGTAACATCGTGTACACCTTCTTCTTAAGACCCGCCACAGTTGCAAGCAGTTGCAGTCAAATGATTACAAACACGCACCTGTGTGGTCACGTGGCTCAGCAAACCCAAGTCCAAGTGCTTTGAGAACAAGGGCTGCATCCGGTTTTTTGCCACTTTATCCTCAGTAGCATCTAGCAGGCGTTCGGTGAACTGCGTCATGACTAAATTTAGAAATTGCAGCACCACATGAAGAGGATTTTAGGAGGGGTGTTTCCCTCAATACAAGCAGGGGCAGTGTCTCTTCTGTCACTGAGATCTTGCCATTGCTGTTCTGCCTCAGGCTAGTGTGACCTGGAGAATCACAGGATTATGCTATCAAATGACAAGTTATACTCTCTGAAGACAGAAAGACATGAAACAAACACATTGTAGGCATCAGTTCCAAAACATTGAGCTGGTATTACCTCCTTTTTAAAAAGGAAGACACAAACAATTGCACATTTTCAATCTTCTAACTGCTTATTTTTCAATGACCCCAATTAAAAGGGGAAAGGGGCAATTGTGGAGCACCTACAACAGCCAAGCTCTCAGCCTGAATGCATGATCTCATTTTATCCTCACAGCAGCTCCATGAGGTCAGTACCATGAGCCTCATGCTACAGATGAGGAAACTGAGAAGCTACGTATCTTGCCAATGTCACACAACTAGTGAGGAGATGAGCTAGGCTTTCAGTCCAGGCCTGCCTGAGCACAAATCCCATCTTCTTGTCTTAAGATTCTACTCAAGACAAAAATCTGGGGGTTCATGTGCTTAAAAACATGTTCATCTGTGAGTGTCCAGTATTGCTGAATAGAGTGTAATTGCGCCTGCTTTATTTCTTTGTAAAAATCACTATAAACGCTCTTCTCCTGATCAGTAGATGTTGTATTTTGAAACACTGTGATTTAAAGTAGAAACCATGCGTTTGTGTATGACAAGAACCAGGCAGTATTTATTTTGCATATGCCCTGAAACTAGTAGGTGCTCAATAAACATTTGTGAAATGAAATTTGATTTATCTCGTATTAAGATTAAATGGTAGAGATTTGTGTTTCCATTTATTTTCTTCTCCCAGCATTCAACACCAAGAGTTGGATTTGTTTTATGAAAATTAAATAATACATTTGGAAATACAATAGTGACATTTTTCTCTTTAATTACTACATGACTCAATTACACTATTACAGAGTGTGGGAATGGAAAGGAATCTATTTGAAGGAAGCTTGGTGCTTTTTTAGCAGGAAAGCACATCCATGATCTTCGTGTTTTATCCCATTGACTATACAGAATCTGTGTAGCCCAAGGTAAGCAATATAGCTGAAATTGATTATTTGTCTAGGACTTTCTGGTAGGCCACAAGCAGTGACCATGGCCTCAGTATCCCTGTGACAAGGGAGGCCCCACTTTTGGAAAGAAAAAGGTGTCCTTCCCAGCTCCTCCAGGGATCCATGTTATATGTGTTGTGTGCTTTATACTTCTTTCTTTGTTGCCAGGTTTGTCTTGTTGAAGTTTGCCTTGATTTGACAACCCTTACAGTCTAGTCAGATTGAAGGGACGGAAAAGAAATACCAAATTCTCAGCCTCAGAAAAGGCTCTCGATCATGTCACTCAGAGCCAGCATTTTGGCCACACTGTATGCTCTAAACAATGCCTTTGTACATTAACTTTAGGACTGAAGCCTGCTGTCCTCATTCTAGAATGTCCTGTCCCAGATCATTCCTCCTCCTGGTTCAGGTCTCAACTCAATGCCATTTACCCTGACCACCAGTAAGAGGCAGGGCTTTGCACAGCTATGCATTTGTTCCCAAGCTCTCACTGGTCTCTGAAATTAGCTTGTTTATTTTTTCTGTTTACTTGTTTATCTCTTTCCCCAACACTAAAATGTCAACCATGGAAGGGCAGAGATCTGTCTCTATTTCTCCTCCCTCCCTGGACCTACAATGTGCCTGGCACATTAAAAGCACTCAAGATTACTTGTTTTCGTGGATGAGTAATGATTTCATCTGAGCATCACGGTCCACTTTAGAGCAAGGGAATGCTCACCTCCGCTTTAGAGATGAGGCACCTACATCTCTGTGACACTCAGTGATTAGCCTGAAATGACAGGCAGGCCTGTAGCAGAGTCATGATTCGAATCTAGGTCTTCTGTCTATGATCTGGGAAGGAGAGTGAACTTTTGCCCCAAACTTAGGTCATGTGAGTACTCTTAAAAACAAGGGCCCCATCAAAGATTATTGACTGCCAGCTGCTTTGGGTATAAAGGCCTGATTCAACCCTGAATCTGTTCCCTGTACCAGAGATGAAAACTCATCTACAAGATGAACTTGCAGGTGTGGCCCAAGACTGCTTCCTGCAGCAACTTCTGCGCGTCTGCCCTGGACCCGAGCTCAACCCTGCCTGGCCTTGCCCTCGGGCCACGCTGGCCTCTGGGTCCCTCATTCCAGGAGTCTCTGGCCTGGCTCTAGACTTTTGGCAATTTTTCTGATGTCCTAATTTCTTGATCACCTGTGCTGACACGATCCGATTTCCTTCAATATGTCTTTTTTCCACTCCTGGGAAATTTATGTCTGCTCCAGCATATGTCCCCATCTTCCTTTGTGAAAAGAGAGGCAAGGAGCAGGAGCGGGGGAAAGCCTTTTAATATTTTTTAGCGATGTCTTCATGCTCTATCAATAAATTTCCTCTGCCAGTTTTTAGAGGCACTATTGGCTCTTGTACTGACCTCTTGTTCCTTCTGTACTTGAAAAATGCCTTATTATTTATCTTAGCCTCTCTCGCAATCTTTTCATTCCTCACCTTTGCTTTTCTTATCATGTTTTTGCACTTTCTTAACTTTGTGCTGTAATTTCTCTAGCTGAGTCGCTGTCTGATTTTTTTCGTAGTTTCTCGCTTTCCTACTTTTGATTACTTCCCCTACCACCAGCACGTCGTCTTTAGAGCTATTTGTTTGGCCTATTCTCTACACTTCATGTATTTGTTGCTAGGTAGCACATATTTTCTTTGGGCAGTTTCTATTCATTTCTCTCTGATTACGCTCTTCCATCAGCGGCTGTTCTCTTCAATCTCTTCCTGCCCTTGGCTTTTCTTGGTAGGAGCTGACTACTTTATTTGATCTGGGGTCTCCTGCACGTCCTTCAAAGATGGTCCTAATGCCTGCTGAGTTTTATTTGGGATGTGCATTCCTTGGCTAGGGTTGCCCTAACAAAATACGACAGACTGGGTGGTTTAAGCAACTTTTTTTTTTTTTTTACATCTCTGGAGTTTGGAAGTCCAACATCCAGGTGCCATCGGGCTTGGTTTCCTTCGAGGTCCCTCTCCTTGGCTTGTGGAAGGTCACCCTCTCGCTGCCTCTTCACAAGGACTTTTCTTTATGTAGGCAAATCCTTTGTGTCTCTTTTGTGTCCAAATTTCCTCTTCTTATAAGGACACCAGTTAGATCACATTAGGGCCCACCCTGATGGTTCCATTTCTAACTAAATCACCTCTTTCAAGGCTCTAGCTCCAGTCCAGACTAAGACACTACTCTATAGTGACCACAGTGTAGGAGCCTCTGCATACCTATGGAATTTGGACACAAGGAGAGCCCAATTCTGACATCTGTAATGTCTCTGTTCTCAGTTGTCCGATGAAACAGCATAGTGAGTGTGTCTCTCTCCCACCACGGGAAGCTGCAGATAACAGACAGTTACAGGGAACAGAAAGCTGAGAATGAAGGTAATGGCAGAAACCACCGGGACAATCAAAGTGTATCCAGCCTTACAGGTGCCTGATGCTGTGCTATTTTCTGGACTTGCAATGGTAAATATGATTACATCTGATTAACATGTTTACTCTTATTTTAGGATTTAAATTGTGATGGGGAGAGCCATATTAAATTTTTATAATATTTTCAGTGTTAAGATAAAGGTTTGTACGGTTGGAGCACAGAGAGCCAGTAGTCTGTTTTGGATGCTGATGGCATATTTCCTGTGTTTCCAGAGTGTTCACACGAGTACATGCACCATAGTAAATATGCCAGTCATCCCTCCCCATCCATGCCCACTCACACTTTGAAAGCTGACATTCAGCTGGGTGTGCTGGCT